TTGATGAGAATTTGGGGCAGTGTTAGAAAACTGTCACTCTGGGGCCTCAAAATAGAAATAATAAGAATAGCAAAGGAAAATTTCCCCATTTCAAATTGAAAGAGGACCCGAAAGTACTAGGGAGGAGAAAATGTTTTTTTAAAGTACGATTCAAACCCAGACAAACCTCTCTTTCTCCAGCCTGTTCCTGTCCTTTTATCTAAGTGAGGTCACACTTACATGACCTTTTGTGATGGACTTCATGAGGACTTCAGCTTCAGCCACGTGGTCGCCTGTGTTGACCTCTTGCCTCTCCCCTAGTGAGCCGGATGGCATTGCTGTGTACGTGAGCACATTTTTGTTTTGCCCCTTCATCCGTTCATGAGCACTGAGGTGGACACTTTAAAAATGTATTTATTTTTAACAGTGTCACCGACATACCATCCACCTAGCACCCGTTTCAGTCACTCAAACACATCCATGGGCGTCGAGCAACCGTCACCACATTTGTGCTCATTGCTAGCTCCTTGCGTCCCATCAACTCGCCTGCCACATCCCTGTGAAACTATTAACCCAGTTGCTGTCTCTACAGGGGTACCTTTCCTGGGTTTCGCATACAGAAAGACATACAAAATCTAAACAAAGCAATAAATAAACAGCCCAACAGGGACAGAAGCGTCCATCGAAAATCTTGAAAACTGGAGCAATTACGCCTTGGATCAAGAGGGAGGTCAAGGACAAGGTGTCACATTCTGACCGCCGCACGCGCAGTGACCCACCTGCACTGCGCTCTGTCTGATGGCAAGGCTGTTCCCGTTCCTCTTCAGTCAGGAGGTTCATGGGTCGGGGACCTGCGCTGTCATCCACAGCCTTCTGCAAAGCTGGTGTTCAGAATGCAAGCTGGTACCATTCCCTCCTCTGGGTTTGGATTCTATTACTTACAGTTCTTCGATCACATGCTCCTTTCCTGTGGACTTAGCTGACACCTCAGTTAGAAGACCGCTTGTTTTAAGACAAGCCTTTAAGAGCCCAGAAACTATTCTTTCTGATGCCCGGGCATGAGGCGGACACACAAAGATCGAAACTCGTGGTCATAGAGACTATTTCGACTCCTAGCAGCCCTGTGAGACAGAGCTGAAGTGCCCCATAGGCTGTCCAAGGCTGTGATCTTACAGAGACTGCCACACCCTTCTCCCACGGGTGGCTTCGAACCACCACTTAGCAACAGAGCCCTTCACCAAGCACCTCTCACCAAAGATAACTGTCCCCGAAACGTCTGGGAAGCAAATGCACACACGTATACGAGCAGAAGTGCCACCGGGCCCACCTGCCTCTTCCCCACTGGCCACACACTCCCTTCCCCCACTCCGTGGGGCCCTCTGAGCGCCCGTCTCCTCTTCAAAGGCCTGGGCCCCAACTCCAGGCACCCCTCCAAACTCCAAGTCCCATCTCCTTTTGTTTCTTTGGCTTCCCACCCTCGTTTCTGGACTCACCTCAGCGCCCCCTTCCCACGCCCCTACAACCAATCCCCTCTGTGAAAAGCCTAGTGTGGTGCCTGTCTTTCCAGGACCCCCCTTCTCCTACCAGCTGCCTGCGCACCACTGAGTCTGTAGCTCCTCGAGGCGTTAACAAGCATTGTTGAATGCACGAATTAGGCGTTATTCAGCTAAAACTGAACGTCGGCATGGAGTCTGTCGGCATGGAGTCTGGAACAAGCACGCCCAAGGCACTGGGCGCACCCATGCGCAGAGCCGCATCTGACGGACGGGAAAGCGCGTGGAGGCTGGAGGGCTGGCACAGGCTCACCCACCAAGAAAAGCGACTGCGTGACACGCTCACCTGGGAGCCGCGAGGGCTGTGTCAGCAGCACGTCACCGAAGACACGACGCTGTCCTTCGAGCGAATCGGGTTCATTTTTCTCACATAAGCGTCCTGCAGATGTCACTAAGCACCCATGCTCCCGAGCTGTGCGTCTTCTCTTTCTCCTTCCCCATCAATGGCCCACGGGTGGCTTTGGCACCTCCAGTTCCCCCACATCCCAGGCAGGATGTGGGGGACGGGCAGACGGTCACCTAGCTGCCGCCTGGCAGGTTTTGCGTTGGGAAATTGAAAGCGATCCCATTGCCTCCTGGGCCACAGCTGTCACCTGGCCACCATGCTGAGGAGCTGGTAAGTCCAGCCAGCCACCAAGAAACGAGGCTCAGGCTTAGCGGGAAGGCTGCCCGAGCCAACCCTGCCTGAGCTTGGACGGTGCTACGTCAGGGTCAGGAGAGATGGATGCTTCAGGAGGTGCTGCGGGGACCACCGGCTCTCCAACACCAGGTAAAACCGAATCCCGACCTCCTGCCCTACACAAACCTTAATCCCAGGGAAATGCGATGTTAACATTGAAAAGCAAAACTATTTAACCTTAAGAAGAAAAAACAAACCATCTTTGGGAAAGATGAATAAATTCAATAGCCCAGACTGCCTGCAGTGGGAGGTCTCTGCAGTGCAGACCGAGGGGCAAAAGTAGACCCTCTCAGAGGAAATAGGAATGAACAGTAAACAAGGATGATCCTAAGCTCCGTTACTCAGAACAACCACGCCCGCGGCCACCCAGCCCATGACAGCGCACAGGGACTCTGTTCAGTTTCCAAAGCAGACTGACAGCTGGTGGGTTCAGATCACCCATCTTTTGGCTAGCAACGCCGTGCTTACCCACTGTACCAGGGCTCCTCAGCCTAACCTCTAGAGCAGTGGTTCTCAACCTTCCTCACGCCGCTACCCTTCATATAGTTCCTCATGTGGTGGTGACCCCCAACATTATTTTCATTGCTACTTCATCACTGTAATTTTGCTAGTGCTATGAATCGGGCAACCGCCAAAGGGGTTGCAACCCACAGGTTGAGAGCCGCTGCTCCAGTCTAGCTTCCCAAACCTATCTGGCTTACTGCCTGCCCCTTTTCAGGGGGAAAAAGTTTACCCAGCATCCCCTGGCAATGAAGAACATTTGCACTCTAGCCTGTAATCCAAAGTGTAGGTATCTGCTTTTGCAGATTGTTCCAGCACCCTCCGGGGGGCAGTATCAGCCACTTTGGGAAAAACTACTTTAGAAAACACGGCAAATTAAAATGTGTACATCCCTGAGACTGTCAAAAACTAAAGTCTCACAGTGTCTCAAGTTCAGTAGGGAGACACTGCATTTTGTACCCTGCAGTCAGAGTGGAACTACCAAGGTCGACCCACTTTGGAGAGCAGTTGGCCACATCTAGTCCAACGGGCCTTCCGCTAAGTTACAGCCCAGCAATCTCGCAGACCTGTGCTGGGAGCCTCGCTCAGGATGTTTGGAGCTGCACCGTCTGCTAAGAGGGGCGGGGAGCACCTGGTGGCCCGCCTGGAGGAGGGAGGAAACGGAGGCACATTCACACAACAAAGCAGCCTCTTCTTCAGTCATCCAGGGAACCCAAACGTGACCAATGTTGTTTCAGAAGTTAGACTGCGGTGCCTGCGACACTTGTACAGGTCTGTTCACTAGCACGATTCCCGGGATACATGGCTGGGTGGTGAAGTGGTCGAGATGCATTGCAGCAGCTTTGGGGAAGGCACGGAGGTTCTGTTTCTGATTGCACATGTCTCACAGTCCACTTCCCAAGGGCGGAAGAACTCCATTTTTAAACGCGGGCAGCCAAACCCACTGAGCATCAATCCTGTGGGTGAGCATACATGGGACCCACCAGGGCAGCCCTTGTTGGTGTGAACTTCAAAGGGGCAGACTTCTGGCGGCCAATGAGGCTGTCCCAGGGGGAGGGGCACAGGCTGTGCCGAGCACAGACCAGCACGGCCCACTTCCATGTGTCCTGGAGAGCCCTCAGCCTGGTGCCTCTGGCTCTTCCACAGAGCTGCCCCTCGGAACCACGGGGTTGGTCTTAGTCCCCAGGTGATGCTAATGTGCAGCCCAGGCTGGGACCCACAGAGTCAAGAGGCCAATTTGCCTAGTCCTTCAGGAAAGGCTTGGGATGGCGTCAACACCAAAGGCTCCCTGTGGCCAGTGTGGTGCTGAGAAAGGGGTCGCAGGCACCACCCTCGGCCCTGGGATGGGGGCCCATCCCAGAGCAGCAGTTCCAGTCTCCACATGAGCAAGCGTTGAGCTTGAAGAGCTAATGCAGATGAACACCACGTGGCCCGGCCGGGCCCATGGTGAGAGCGCCACACGTGTGGCTTCTTCGAGGAGAGAAACGGAGGGAAAGCGGTAAGGAGGCCACGCCTGCGCGGGAGAGGCTGAAACTTCCGTCCCCGGGAACCCTTCCCACCGATGTGAAAAGGGTCTGTGCATGCAGACACTGAGGACACCGGCGGCGGACAGAGCTCGGCGCCCGGAGGGAGGCACGGAGGGAAAGACTACGGTGCGCTCTTCACGTGCGCATTTCCACGCAGGCTCACAGCGAGGCTGTGAGGACGGCAACGACAGCGAGCCGGCTCCCTGGGGGAGAGGGGAGATGCGCGTCACCCAGCAGTGAGGCCCTGAAGGAGGTCCTGAAGAGGGGTGACCCTCAACTTGGCAAGGGACACACAGGAGCTGAGCTGGGATGGCTTTGCATGGATAGTGCCCATCACAGCCCTGCCCTGTCCACTGCTGGCCATCGCCCACCCTGTACCATCTGTCCCCCAGGGCAACTCAGACAGCACTTCTGACTCTCCCCACCCCTACCCCCCAGTCCTTTCCCAGTCCCCCGGGAGACTTTCCCTCAGGCCCTGGACTGCAGCCTTGCCCTCTGCATGGCCCACACCTTCCTCACCCGCTTCTCTCCCCTCTGCGGATGCCCGAGCACTGGGAGGCAGCCCAGGGACAGCCATCTGGACTCCAGTCCTTACCACACCATCACAGTGGGCCACTGGGTGTTTTGCTTGACCTGAGTCATGAGTCCCTACCTGGGGGCCGTGTGTAGCCTGGTGGGGTGGGGTGGGGAAAGGGGTAGGAACTGAAGGCCACCAGCACCAGTCAGCAGGGTGTCCTCGGAGAAGGGCAGCCACACGCCGAGGTCGCTTAATTCACTTTATTAGCAAACGGTCACACTCGGCCCCTCTGGGCTCACCTTTGGGCACATCTCCAAACGAAAAGCTCCTAGGGTGAACAGAAAGCCCAGTCCCCCTGCTCCGGCCGGCGCGCCCCGCCCCCACACACGCACCACACCCAGCCCAGGGCCCCCATCGAAGGGGGGCTCCCCCCGCCCCTTGTTCCTGAGATGCCAGCAACGGGGAGAGGGCCCCCGCCCCCAGCTGTGGGGGCGCCGAATCCTTACTCCTCAGCCCTGCCACCGGTCCTGGCTGGGCAAGAAGCTAAATGTAAGAAAATACTTTAATCATTTCTGTGAAACAGTTAAGAAATAATGTGGTCTTGTTTCCTTTTACAATCCCATAAAAAAGTTCACATTGGTGCCGGCCGCGCGGGCGCGCGCTCAGTAGAATCGCTTGTTCCGCTCCTGCCGCTTCTGGAACACCACGGCCCCCACCACGGCGCACACGATGATGCCCAGGAGCGCGCACAGCAGCAGCAGGAACACCCGCCAGCCCGTCAGGGGCCCGCCGCGGAAGTTCCCCGTGGGGTCGTCCACGTTGTCTGCAGGAGAGAAGGGGCGGCTGAACCGGCAAGGCCCCGTGACCACAGCCCACAGCCCACAGGCACACTGCTGATGCTTGGAGGCTGTGGAAGTGCAGGTTCAAACCCTGCCGGTGCCTCTTCTAGCTGAGGGGACACATGTACCACTCCGTTCTACACGCAGCAGGCCCAGAAGCTCCACCAGGGGCCAGATACCCACTGACCTGTTGTTTGTGCCAACGCAGCCACCCTGCAAGGATGTCCTCGAGCCCTTCCTCTGGGGCCCGTGCTTCCCCAAGCCCCACCAGAAAGAAGCTCTGGGCACCCCACGCCTGGGGAGAGGGTGCACATACACACCTTTGGGAGACTTGAGGAAATTGACACTGGGCTCGATCTTGGTCCAGTCAATGTTCTCCTCGTCGGGGGTGTGCTCTACCATCAGCTGGAACAGCTTCATGGAGATGATGTCGTGATTGTCTGCAGGGCCCAGCGAGCCTGGGGTGAGCCTGGAGCCAGCCTGACCCACGCGACCCAGACCCTACTGCCTCCCCGGGGGAGTGCAGGCAGGATCTCAGGGCGAGCCACCCGCAGGGCGTGGCGATACAACACTCAGGAGGGACAGCGGGCAGAGAAAGCGGCCAGGGGCGAACAATCAGAATGCTTCCTTCCTCATATGTAACAATAGGTGGCTCTAGGGGAAGGCACACCCACGGGGGCCTGGAGACGTGCTTCTAGAAGGCCATGCAGCCCTGAAGCCGCTGGAGCAGCTCTGCTCTGCCCGGAGCCAGGTCTTCTACACCCACCGCGGCAACCAGCAAGCGCAGCGGCACGCCCTCTGCATGCTTGCCCCCAGAATGAGGGGCAAGGCCAGGCCCACTCAGGGAAGAGCAGCACAGCGGTCCAACGACTGCTGGGAGGGCAAAGCGGAGGCAGAATTCCTGGCCAGGAGACCAGCCCCCGGCATGCAGAATGTGTAGGGACAGGTGATGGGGTGGCTGCAGTTTTAAAGCAAGGAGTGGAGAAGCCCCCAAGACAAAGGCATGGAGAGACGAGGGAGTGGCACTAAATGCAGAGGCCAGCAGGGGCAGCGAAGCAGGGAGGCCCACAGCACCAGGAGCCAGTGGATGCAGCCCTCCAGGGGATGGAGAGCACGGGGGCAAACACGGGGCTACAGGAAGAGCAGCGGACTGGGCAGAGACGTGGCTTGGACAGAGGCAGCGGAGGAGCGAGCAAAGACTCAGTGGGAGACAGTGTGGAGCTGGGGAGCCGAGATCTGAGACCACCAAGACAGCCACAGGGCTTGTCACTGGGTTAGAGGTGGTGTGCGAGTGGATGGGAGTCCACAATGACACCAAGGTTATTTGGCCACTAGAAGTAAGGTGGTGTCATGTGCATTTGAGGGTGGACTGGAAACTGAGGGGTCTGTGACAGGCAAGCAAAGACGCTGTGTAGACTGGTGGCAGCCTAGGGCCAGGACAGAGATTCGATCCAACACAGTGTACCACACCCAGATTTAACACCCCTGATCTCCTACGGTCAAAAGAGCCACAGTGGCACCGTGGACCAAGCATAGGGCTGCCCAGTTCAAGGTCAGCACTTCACACCAGCAACGGGCACATGGGAGAAAGAGGAGGCACTCTGCTCTCTTGGCCAGGACACTTAGGACAGCGGCTCTGGTTTGGGCTTTATGCTCTGGGGCAGAGCTCCTGGCTGGCGCCAACAGTAAAGCGGAGCAGTGATCGGAGGCTAACCAAAAAGTTGGCGGTTTGAGTCTAGCCAGAGGTGCCTCCAAAGGAACACCTAGCAATCTACTCCCCAAAGGTCATAGCCACTAAAAACCAGCGTAGAAAACAGGAACACAGTGCTACTCGGACCCCTGGGAGGCCACACGAGAAGGGTCTGTGGTTGTCGGGTTGGTCAAGGACTGCTCAGCGGTGACGCCCTGAGGCACTCAACATCTAGGCCCTTCGAGGAGAGGACGCAGGCGAGCAGAGAAGGGAATGAGGGGGTCCTCAAGCTAGGACAGCAGACATGAGGGCAGGAGGCCTCGCTCAGCCTGCACTCACCGGATAGGTCACCGGTGCCGGCCGAGGCTCCGAAGTAGTAGCCGGTGGGCAGGCGCACCCCGGTGATGTCGATGCAATTCTTCCACTCGTTCTTGTCCTCCAGGTCTGTCATCACCTGCAGGACCAGCAGGTCAGGTACACCCCAGGTGGGCACGCCACCCCATGTACTCACGCAGCCCCTCCAGCCGGCTCACCGTCAGGCGGCCCCGAGAGTAGCGCACAGCCAGGAAGGTGTCGTGGTCCCGGTTGCGCAAGTCGGCCGTGCAGCCCGCCAGCTCCGTCCAGCGCCCATCCTTGCTGTGGTCGTAGGACAGGGAGCCATTGTTGACCATCACAGAGATGTACGGGAACACGCGCTGGGACCAAGACACTGGTTACTCCACAGCCGGCCCAGTGCCCCTGCCCCCGCCCCGGGGCTCCCACCCAGGCCCTCCTCCACCACACGGAGCTCGGGGCCTACCTCAGTGGTCTCATCATTGGGATACGTGTCCAGGAAGATGGCTAAGCCGTGAAAGTTGTCTTTGCTTCCAAACACAGGTCCTGCAATGGTATGAAAATGCTCTCAGGCTGGGAGAAGCAGGAGTCCCTCATGGGCAATGCCAGCACCACCGATGTCCCAGCCAGAGAGGAGGGCAAAGCTGAAGCCACCTGCCTGAGGGGCACACAGGGGACCAGGTCACAAAGAGCAGGTGCACACCTGGGAAGAGCCCTGGAGGAAGCCCCAGCCTCTAAAGCTAGGGCCCACAAACGTGTTCTGTGAGGGGCCAGTGGGGCCACCACAGTCTGTCACACAGACTCCCTTGGTTCTGTATTTTAAATAAGCCTTAAGGTGGTGGTAGAACCATTCTGAGCCAACGTGCAGCCAGGAGCCTACGGTTTGCTCTACGCCAAGCTGTCACCACACATCTGAGCTGCATTTATGTTCCTCACCCCTCTTGGGCCCCATCTGAGGGTGACTTGCGTGTTAAAGACCAGGTAAGGGGCCTAAAAGCACCGGCATTCATTGGGATCCCTGGGTGGCATGGAGGTACCTCAGAAGAAAGGCCTGGTGATCGACTTCTGAAAGGTGGGCCATTGAAAACCCTCAGGGGCACAGTCCCACCCTGACACACAGGGTCACTGGGACCCAGAACGGATTCAAGAGCAGCAGGTAGTGGGCCTGGGGGACAATATGTGCAGTGTAGAGCTCAGCTGGGGACAGCATTGAGTCACAGGATCGGCGGCTCCTCTTTGCTAAAAGGCACCCCCCCTTCCAGAGCCAACCTCAGATCCATGGGGGTGGGCAGTGTCTCCTGGAGGCGCACCTGGCACGAGGCGGTCCCGGGTGTACCACAGGGCGATGCCGTCCCCATGGAGGTTCTTCTTGCCTGTGCCGTGGACCCTGAAGTGGACGTGCATCTCCCAGTCCTTGAGGAAGCAGGGCTGTGGGGACACACAGAGAAGCTCAGCACACTGCCCCACAGACCTTGCCAGTCAGGAGGGACATGCATGTCCCCGACCGACAAGACAGACCTACTAAGGCTGTCTCAGCAGGTGGGAGGGGCTGCAGTTGGCTGGCCTCCAGGTCAGGAGGGGGCAGCCACACCGTGCTCCAAAGCTGCCAGAGGCTGGCTGGTGGGCACCCTGGGACCCTCTCTCCTCGATACCAGCTGCCCACTCAGCCCTGGCTCCTCACTGCCCCTACCTGCATCTGTCTGAACCACTTAAGAGTCTCTTTCACTGAAAGCAAAACTAACTCAGTCTCACCCACGTCTGTCTGAGCCAAACCCCTGCCCAGTCTTCAAATGCTGTCCTCACCCTCCACCCCACCTCACAGCCCTTAGCCACCAACTCTTCCAGCTCGCCCACCTCCATTCTCTTCCCTTCCGGAGCCTTCCAAGACAAGGTGCAATCTGCCCGACTCCCAGGAACGAGCTGTGCTTCCGCCTCTTGCATTGGCCAGCTTACATGTGGGCACAGTGCCAGGCAAGGGTTAATGTCTCTCAACTATTGTAGTGGGGAGAAAGCGGGTGCGAAGGGTACCATGGGAAGCAAGCATGCTGGGCCCCGCCCACAGCAAGGGGACAACCTGGCATGGCCCACCAGTTAGTTCTGTGAGAAAACACAAGTGTGTATGTGTGTACACACACACACACACACACACACGAAAGCACTTGGGGAAGATTGTACTATCCTGTGCAGATGAGAACATGGAGAATCACCCACTCAAACAACAGTGGACTGACTGCCCAGGGTCCAGTCCACTGGGGACATTTGGGAGCATCTGCAGCAGATCCCTAAGCACTTACACACAAAGATGCATTATCCACACGAGCAAAAGGCAGGGACACCCAAGTGTCCATCAACAGATTGGGGGTGGGGGTGGAGATGTGGTATGTAGAATATTACTCAGCCATCTCCCAAGGCAAAAAAGACTCCAAATTCAAAATGACATCCTACAGGTGTCAGTATACAGTGCGTCTATGTGCTGCCGGCACCATCTGGTGGGTCTGACTCAGGGTGACCCGGTCTAAGACAGGATGAAAGACACCAGCAGCCTGAGGCCAGTGGGGTATCCACTGCCTCCATGGCCCTGGGTGAATTCATCGCGGTCACAGGCAGGACTACAAAAATGGGGGGAGGACCCTGATTGTGACCCAGACAAACTGCAGACCGAGAGATTACAGGATTGGTTCTGGGCTTAACATGACTGGTGACTGCAGCCCAGGACGGAAGGTGAATCACGGGGGGTGCCTGAGGAGACTTGCGGGGCAAACTAGATCCTGGAGGGGTGCCGGGAGCGCAGAGGCCACAGCGGCCACAGGGCCGGCTAGTTCAAGGTTGCAAAGAAGAACGCACGTGGAGGCAGGACTTGAGGCCCAGGCTGGAAATGGCAGGAAGCACAACGGAGCCTGTCCTGCAGCGACGTGGGGGTGACTGCACAATTATGAATGTGACCGAACCACTCGAACCTGTGGCGTGAGCTGTATGTCGGTGCAATATGTCGACTGCTAAAAACAAACCAAACATTGAAACTCAACGCGGCAGCCGTAAGCACAGCCTTCCACAGACGGGCCCTGCTGTGGGGTTCAGCTCTGTCACAGGCAGAGGCAGGAGCGAGGCTGTGATGCACGCCACAGCAGGGACAAGCCCAGAGGACATCTGCTGAGGAAACGTGCCGGACACAAACACCGGACTGTGTGGCTCCCTTCTACTACACGGAGGGTCTGTAAGAAACAGGTCACTCATCCACACCCCATAGCACTGAGCTGCCCAGCCCCCAGGCTCTCAATGTCTCCGGGGCCAGAAAGTCTCATCTGGACAGCACCGTGTTTGGTCTGGTTTTCGTTTTTGTTTCTTTTGAGAAAAGGTAAACCCATTGAGACAAAAGAAGATTTGTGATATCAGAGGCTAGAGGAAGGGCAGAATGGAGTGTTTAAAATCACTAAGCTTTATTAAATGATATTCACTACATGGATACAGTTTTATCGTGTCAATTTCCACCTCAAAAATGCTATTTGAAAATGTGCTAAAGCTCTAATAAGCATACACATCAAAGGTACTGAGCAAGGCAAGGTAAACAGTGAATAAAGGTAAGCTGCTGGTGGAGAGAGGGAAAAGCATGAAGGTGCTCGCAGCCCTCTTGCGAGAGTGACGTGGGAAGGGCACCGTCCGCAGGTCTGTCGTGTGTGCAGGCTTCTGCGATTAAAAACCCCCTTTCAAAGAGAACAAAGCTTGTGGCCGCACCTGGGAGAGGGGATGCTGTCCTCCTGGATTCATAGGCCTCACCGACTGGCCCACAATAAAAACACGAAAAACAAGATCATGGAAGGAAAGAGGGAACCAAGAAACAAGGACACAGAACCTTAAAAGCAAAGGGGGGGGGGGGGCAGATTACCTTCAAAGGAGCGACAATCAGCCTGCCACCTGCCTTCCCCACAGAACACCACAAAGGGAGCAAAGAGACAACAGAGGGATATATTTGGCACCGAAAGACAATAGCAGACAACCTTGGCTTCTATACTTAGCGAATGCCTCCTTCAGGAGAGAAGGTGAGACCATGACATTTCACAGACAATGAAGAGGCTCCGCAGCAGTGGCTGCAACCCCATGCCACCCTCCAACCGTGGGGAGGGGACGATGACCCAGAGAGAAGCCAAGGCTCCGAGAAAGGGCAGTGGTGGAGGCAGTGGATGCGAGGGCACAGGTCAAAATAGACAAAACCAGCTTTGTGTGGTCCGAAACAGAAAACACAAGAGGAGGGACCACAGGGAGGCTGAGTGTCCAGGAAGCAGTTCTGGGGGCGCACGCACGGTCATCCGACTTCGATTAAACTCCAGGGCAACCACTAAACAAAAAGGAAAGGGGCGGAAAACTTCCAAGCTGACAGCTGAGGAGGAAGCCAACCCATCCACACGCAGGAAGTGGAGCTGGGGGCCCCGTTAGGAAGTGAAGAGTCCAACCAGACGCCAGCACTGGCCTGACTTGTGGAAGGACTGCATGCTGGGTGGAAAACACACCTAGGAGTCCCTGGGAATTGTCTTATGAAGGGGTAGCCCCCAAGCCCTGGAATTTTAAGAACAGCATCATGTCTCATCAGTAACGACCTTGGGGAAAAAGGCTGGGTGGCTTCAGAGCTGTTCTTTCAAAGCCCAGCAAGTTCCCTTCCAGTCAGTCAGAGCCCGAGGCACACATTCCACAGCAACCCTTCTCATTCCCAAATCTTCCGTCAGGTTTTGCTGGCCCAGGGTCCAAGATATTCCAGACAACTGCCTCGTCTCTTCAGTCATCCATCACCGGTCTTCGGCACAGGTGCATGTATTTGGTCGACATGTTCGTCTGTTTGGGACGGTGATGAACATCCAGAACACGGTTTGTCATCAGTCAACATTTCACCTTTGATGGAAGGAGAAAACCCCGGGTACACTTGAGTTTTCCCATAGCTCTGTCCTTGTCAGCTGTGTTCAACGTCACAACAGATTCTGCAGCTTTTTTCCTGAGCAGGAAACAGAATTTCACAACCGCACACCGTACTCTTAAATCAGCCATTACAAAAAACAGGGTTCGAGTGAAACGGCTTTTATGAAAAAATTCACTGTGACCAGAGAACCTTCCCAGGTGACACCACTGGGTGTGCTAACCCAGAGTGAGTTGCTCTATGCTGGCCGCGCAGGAACAACATGTACTATGGAAGCTCCATCCAGTGGAGCTTTTATTCCAGTTTTTGGGGGGTACCCCCTCGTATTTCTCACAGCAACACGCATTTATACCATTAGCTCAAAAGAAAAGCCCTCTAATTATTGTTTACAAGAGAAAATGCCGAAACCACCACCATCACAACAATGAAAAACCAGGAAAAAGAAACAGGCCAGAAAACACCCAGAAATAGAAAGTAAGAGCAGACTATTGCAGGTATACTAACAACAGACAAACATTAAGGGAGGGTGTGGGGGGTGTAGTCCTTTGAATAACAACAGAGGTAATTACCAGGAAGGGTGAAGGAAAATTTCCATATGTACCTCAAGGGGCCCTGGGGGTGCAGTGGTTAAAGCAGAGGGCAGCTAAGGGGAAGGCTGGGATTCAAACCGACCAGCTGTTCCCCAGGAGAGAATGCGCAGTCAGCTTCCAAAAGGATTTCGGCCTTGGAAACCCTCTGGTGGGCGGCTCTATTCTGTCTACAGGGTCACAGAATCAGGATCCACAGGACAGCGGAGGTAACAGCTTAAAAATATACACAACAAATAAAGACAAAGACAAGGTCCCCAATAGAAATCGAAACACACCTCCTTTAGGGACCCACCTGACAGCACCCCGCAGCAAAATAAGGGGAGGATCCACAAGACTGACCACCCAGCCAGCAACCCTGTCCAAGACCTTGTGCTCCACAAGGGGCAGAATCCACAGGGTGGAAAACACACAGGGAACATTTCTTAACAACCGCCCACCACTCACAGAGACCTCAAAGAACAAAGCTAGAGGACCTTCCTGGACATGACGCAGTGAAGTATGTCAGAGAAAATGTAAGAAAGTGCGAAAAGCCTTCCTCCACAATCACGCATTGCTTAACATCCACGGCGCGTTCTGTGAAACGGGCATTGGGTGATTTGGTGGCTGTGTGAACGAACACTGTCTGCTCTTGCTTCTTCTCCAAGCATCTCGGCCGAGAGCAGCTTGCCTGAGCAGTTACCGGCATAGTGCTGACAGGGCCTGGCTTTGGGGCTGGCTCCCTAACCCGTGTCTTTAGCAGTCTCCTGCACTGGATGGCGGTCCCTCTTGGCTTTCCATGGGCCTTGCAGCTTTCGGAGCAGCTCATCCTGTAACTGCCTGGAGAATTTTCCTTTGTCTTGAGGGCCCATGCCAACACCCCTAAGCACGAGCAAGCAGCCTTCATGGATTTCCCACTTTGATGTTGTGCAGGAATGTCTTGCTTTACTCCCAAACCTATCCCTCCCCGTTGGTCTCTCGCTGTTGCGATCCCTGGGCTTGTTTTGCTGTACTTAGGCACTGGGAATGCACGTCACCATAATCGTTTGAAAGAAGATGAAATCAAGAACAAACTACAACACTCTCAGGAGATGGGTGCTACATGAGACTGGATGCTGGTGTCCAAGAGCCAGAGCTCACATAGGGATGTAGGGGAGTTTTTAACACAGGTGTTGATTCTGACGATCCAGACACAGATGGTCCTAGCTGATGCACAGGCTACCCCATCAGTACCCTACCTTTGTGTAGCAGAGACAGGAGATCCCCATGCTGCATGAGGGAAGCTGTTATGCCTGCTAGCGCCCCGGCTCCAGTTGGCTATTCTGAACCGTGCTAAAACCATCGATGTAATGTGGTCAGATGTTGACCGAATGGGCAATATGCAGCACATGACTGTATTTGAAATTTTAAACAAAATCCACATCTCACACATACAATTGTCAGCCAGAAACTGGACTTCAGACTGTCTCTTTGGCCCTGCAAGAAATCTCCGGGGTGACTCCCAGGCCTTGGGAAGTCTCCCTGTGCCAGTGGATCAGAGGCTGGAAACAGAATGACCTAACGGCACAAAGCCTCCAAAGGACTTGAAGCAGGAGGTCCTGGCTAGAAGAGGCCCCGAAGCTGCCTTGTCGGAGAAGACAACACAGCTTCGGTTCTCACCTGGCTGCGAGGCCGGCTCACGGTCACTCGGGAAGCCAGGCCCACCGGGCACTAACAGACCCCCATGCAGATGAGTACTTTCCCCGTCTCGGCTCTCAACAAAATCCATGGTACATATGATCCAACCTAATCCGACCGCCAGTGAGCCGCCTGAAAAAGATCACGGCATGACCTGGGGTTTATCAGCCAAAGAAGCTCAGATCATTGAGCCGCAGCCCCAGTGGGGCACACTCCCTGTGCCCCCACCTCCCGGTGTGCGCCC